CTGTATTATAATGTTTGTACTTATTACATTTATTAATATTTTTTATAACTTTAATTACTTATTCAATTCATAATGGAATAAAAAAATAATAATATATAGTTTTTGCACAAATATAATGATTGTCACGTTTATATATATAGATGAGAATATGAAACATAAATGTGGGATTAACTAAAAAAAAATCTTTTTAATTTAGCCATTAACTAATTAGGTTTAACTAAAAAAATCTTCTTAAATGTGGGATTAATGAGTAATTAATTAAAAAAATGTAACTCCTTTTGGAGGGAAAGTGAAAATATTTTTATTAAATGTTCTATTAAATAGGATTAGCTAGTAATTATATATATATAGATTGATTGAGTTAGACTCACTTTTTTTGACCTTTTAGGCTTGGCTCAAAAAAGAACACAAGCGCTCAAGCGCTCAAGATTATATAAGATTGCATTCAAGTTCTGCTCAAGATTATAATAAAAAATTATCTAATTAACGATATTTAAATAATTTACATATATTCAAATTCATCGAGCATTGGAATTTACAAACTACAGGCTCGAGCTTGACTCAAATAAAAAACTCAAGATTCAGCCATATTCAAGCTCAACTCTAGCATTCACAAGCAGCTCGATTTGTTTGCAATTCTATCTGCGAGAATGTATATCCAAATACCTCGGCCTGTTTAACCCATCACTGTCACAATATTGTTTCCACCTTCTTCTGGCCCATAAAAGTTCACCCATGCACAAGCAATAAAATATTGGTCTTAACACAGCATGGAATTCCTAATTAGACAAGGCCACCGGCCGGTCCGACCCGTCATCCCGGTACCAGCCCGGCCCACAACCGGCCTGTAGGTTGTCGGTTCTGAGAACCGTGACCGTGACTGTACGGGTTGTATCCGGTTCCCTTTTTTTTTTCTTTTTTATCCCGGCGGTGTGGGACAGGGCCGGTTCCACGAACCAGCCCTTGGTTTTTAGCTGGCCGATTAAGGGTCACCCATGGAAGGCCCGCCGTCCCGGCCCATTGACTGGCCATGTCTATTCCCAATAAACAAGCAAGAAATAAAATGTGCCACACTACAAATTTTGAGTACAATGAAAAATTGACACCTCAAAATAAATGTTCAAGTAAATAGTCACTCTTCCAAAATATTTTTTTCCTTGTAGACCCAGAAGTTCCTCACCAGTCATGACTATTGTCAGCTTCTCTGAAGTACTTGCACATTTATAAAAAGCCTATAATTCAGCTGCTTAAACGCCATAAATAATTTCAATTGCCAAATAATTAAAATTTAATCAGACATTAAAATTTATTGCTCGTCTGCAGGTATAGAGATGTTAATGTCCGGGGATGGCCTCTGATCGGAGCCCGGCCCAGAATCATTCCAGTCGCTGGTATCGTCAGTGGAAGCAGAGTTTGGGTGGTCCACGTCAGCTTCTCGTTGAGAGTTTTGTACTGGGAATTGGTATATATTGCTTTCCGGTGCCGCCTGTGATATTGGTATGGCAGCTGTGACTGTAGCCGGAGCATACTGGAAAGGAGTGGACGTTATAGCCACATTATGTTGCTTTCTGTTCGGCATCTGAGAACCATTTGGGATGAAGCTTCCAATCACGACCTGCCATAGAAAAACAAGATTAGATAAAAAAATATCGTCCCCCAGTGACATTAGCATGTACTCTACTCCAAGAAAATATATTTCGAATTAATATATTGTACGTTTTGGAAAATCCCTGTACAAATTGCTTGGCGTTGTCATTATTTATAATGAGAGCTTTAAGAGTTCATACCTGGATAGGACTAGCGGCCATTAGCATCCCAGCTAAGCAGCCACCAATCACACGGCCATCGGGGCTGGCCAATGAGACACTTAGCCCACCTGCTCGACTTTTAATCCCATTGTTGTCTGAAACTGTGTATGATCCAGTGAGAGTTAAAATCTCAAATCTACCCTGCATAAATCAAGACTCCAACTTTAAATGCGATGAAATCTTGAAAAATAGAATACAATCACAATTTGGTCAATGTTGAATGTTGTCGACTAAAATTCCTTTAAAGGATCAACCCCGATTGACAAAGATTTGAGACCACAACTTTTTTTGTAGAGAAAACCGAGCATGAAAAGAGCAAAAACCTCGTATGTCAAAAGACCACCAGATGAACCAGGCTGGCGAATTGTGACATTAGAGACGGATCCATTGGCAGAAAGAACACAAACTCCTCTCGAACCCTTTTGAGCAAATGTAAGAATCTTCCCAGCAACATCCTGCGAATTAACTAAAGTTGAGAGCACGAAGAAAGAGAGAGAGATGAGCTCATAAAACTTTTGTGAGAGCTTGGCAAAGTTGTTACCTCGCCTGTATATACTGTGAGCACATGTGGGGTAAAATCTCCTCCGGCCGTGTTTGACAATAATTCGCCTGCACAGCCAACAATTTCAGAAGAAATAATATGGACAATTATAATTAAAAGGAAAAGCAACATTGACTTATTTTAATTTATTTTTTTTTTCAGAAGAAAGAAATAAAAATTGAAGAATGAGATATAATGTGTAGATGGTTTCCGTAACAATTTACAATTCCGGTCATGCAACTCCTTAGGATTGACAATATTAGTCCTACATTTTCTTCTGACGGGTTTATTTTGACTCTTACCGATTCTATCCTTAGTCAACACAACAATGCTAGTACCATCAACTCTTTGGCTTACTGGTATCAATGGCTTCTAGGTGTTCTACTAAATGAGCGTGCTTGGGAACTTATTCAAAGTATATATTCGTAAAAGCAAATTTAGTTCTCTAAATCTAGTCAGTACCATACAACTTTCAGATATGCACCTTCACTAGTGGTAGAGGTATTTTAGATAGTTCTATATCATAATCCAAATTGCATAAACTCATAACTTTTGAATTAAGTTGCGAAAACTAGAACTTGGGAGAACAATAAATCTCCCAAGATCGAAACTTTTCACGCCAAATCGCTTCGGAGAACATTTAGGCAATCAGAGTTGCTAGTCCATCATGGCCAATTTTGTGACTAAGCCCACCATGAAGGCTAAAAGAAACATATTAGATCCCTTTTTCTTTTCTATTGGTAAAAGTAACAATTTAACATATAACAACAACCCTATTGCCAATATTCTACAACCCTAAGGCAAGAAAATGCCAGAAGAGAAAGACATCATCAAATGTGTCCCTATCAAAGCAAGATCCCACAATTTGGCACAGAATTTATCAACATTGACTTAAAATAGATAACTAATTTGCAGAATTTAGCAGTCAAATAAACTCACCCAAAGAACCAAGTGGCTGCCAGTTACCAGGGCCCGAAGGCTTACCGCGTCCCCTTTTCGGCCCGGACGAGAAATCATAAGAAGGAGGCGTCGAAAGGCTGAATCCCGCCGCCGCCGGCGGCGGCGGCGGCGGCGATTTCACATACGAAGCCCTTAAATTGCCGTCGGGGTCGTACTTCCTCGGCCTTCCCCTCTTCTTTCCCCCCATCGCCGGCTGACCGCCCTCACCACCAACGCCGACGGGCCCACCGCCCACAGCGCCGCTGATTGCCCCGCCGCCCCCCACGAATGCAGCCTGCGCCGGCGAGCCCATCATTCCGCCATTTTTCTCCATGCTTATGTTCACCGCCATGTTAATGATTTCAGGGACCACACCGCCACCCCCGCCGCCGCCGAAACCTCCGCCGCTCGACGGCGGCGAGTCGCTCTCCGAGTTGCCGAGCGGCGAACCGGAATCGGTGCAACCCTTTTGCTCCATCTCCATACTCCCTGGCTCCCACATACGATTTGATATGAAAAAAAAAAATAAAAAAAATATGAATCCAATTGAATCCTGAAAAAAAGGGCAAAATCTTTAAAACAAAATTTGAGAGAAGAACAAATGGCGCGAGAAAATTCAGTAGGATTTATGTGGGATTTTGGGTGTAATTAAGAGTGCTATTGGTTTTTGGTGAAAGGTTAGGAAAGGTGAAATGAATTATCCTCCATTAGTGGTTTGGTAAGGTAAGATGCAAAATTGAATAAATAAAAGTAAGAAAAATAAAATAAAATAATTTTAATTGTATCATATTATTAAAAACTTGTTAACAAATATCGATGCATAATTAGTAATTAGTAATTAAGGCTGTCGGTTGTTACTTTATTGGTGTACTTTCTTTTCTAAATAAATATATATATATATATATATATTCATAATTGAATATTTACATATATTAATTATATAGTTGTTATGACTTAATATAGTTCACTGAAATTCAAAAGGCATCTACTTTTGGTTAATACAAAATGTATTTCTATATTGATGTGTATATATATTTTTAGTAAAAAAAAAATGTTTATTTTTTTAGTAAAATATATTTATTTGTTGATGTATATATATATATTTAGTTTTATACTTCAGGTACTAATAATTAACAAGTCATGTTTTTTTTTTAATTTAACTTTAAGTAGATTTTTCTAAATCATAATTATATGTATTTTTTTACTAATAATTTTAAAGGATTTAAGATTTTATGATAATAAAAATTATAATTTATTGTACAACATTATTAGGATAATAAATTAAATGACAAATAATTAGAAATCAAAAGTCTAACTTTAAACTGATTTAAAACATGGATAAAGTATATAATATATATACAATAGTATATTCATTATTCACATGTAGATTCAACCTATGTATTTTAAAAACTATATATCGATACATATATTTATACTTATGCTAGGTGTCTAATATTGATTTCTAACTTCCGTTTACATGTCAAAATATCCATCAGTACAAAACCCGTATATTCATGGGTAAGGGTGAGCAAAACAGAATCGAAATCAAAAAATCGAACTGAACCGAAACGATGTATTCGATGCGGTTCGGTTTCTACAGTATTCGGTTTGCGGTGTAGTTTGGATTTTAAAAAAACCGCAAAAAATTCGGTGCTGTTCGATTTTGTGTCCGAACAATGTAGTTTTAATTGAACCGCACCGAATAGCTTAAAAAAATGTATTTGTACTTGTACTATAGGTATCAAATATACAACCCACCACTCCTTTTATTTGGAAAATAACAACAATAAACCATCAAAATTTACAATTAAACTACTATAATTTTGACAAAATTGAGGCCTTGCAAAATGATTTATGTTTAATCTTTTTAATTGCGGTAACGAACTGAACCAAATCAAATATTTCTTCCTTTCTCTTTCTTTCATCCGGGAAGATAACTTCGAATAGCATGACATTCTTTACTTCTTTAGAGTGGAACTCGCCATTACTAGATCTAAGATCAACGATAGCTTATAGCTAAGCAATCTTCCAGTAAATTGAGATTGTACGATACAATAGCTCGTTGGCTGAAAGGATAAATTAGACGATGAATTCCGACATCATGTTTTTTCTTAGTCATTTTTTGATAAATTCAGTCATTCGTATTAACCATTTTCCTGGTTTTTAATTACATTTATAAAATTATATATGTTTAAAACAAATATTATCTACAATACCATATTGTTTTTGTTTTTTTATTTTCTAAAATCTTATTGCATTGTAATTATATTTTATATTTGTACAACTGGTTTCTCCCATATATTAATTTTTCAAGTTTTTTAATTTATAATTCATGATTTAAAATATATATATACATAAAGATTTGAATTTACTACAAATAATGAGGTTTTTCCGCAAATAAATAAATAAATAATAATGTTTACTAAATAAGGAAACACTTTTAAATATTATTTTTCATCTTTTTTACTATCCGTGGTGAGACTTTTATTTTTATTTTTATTTTAAATAATGTGGTATCAGTAATTGATATATATATATATATATATAATAGTTCTCAGTGAAAGAAACAATAATACATCGTAACCTTCAGATTGAATAATTCAACTACCCATCCAACCAACTCACTCAACAGTGGATCTCACACACCCCCACCAACCTCTCTCTCTCTCTCTCTCCCTCTCTCTCTCTCTCTCACACACACACACACACACACACACACATACACACATCACGCGGACACACACGCACACACGACCCAACCCATCGTCGTCGACCTTCCCAGTGGTCCAACAAGTGTCACCCACAACCATTGCCCATACTCTGTACTCAGCAAGAACGCCTTCGTTGAGCAGGTCCACTGTCACAGAGCTGCAGCTCGCCGCAGATCACAACCATCGACAACAATTCTCCTTCCGCTGGTAGATCGCTAAACTTCTACCCTGCCCGGCAGCCCAGACCAAGCGGCCTGATTTCAACGACACGAGATTGCTCTCTGATTTTCAGAATTAAGTAGAGATGGCCCCTTTCCCACCACCACGCGCCGCCGATTTTGCCTCTCTATGCGGTAGATCGCCTCGAATTTGCTGGCGATTGCGGCGGTAGCGACTGTGACGATAACCAAGAGGCACAGAGCGACGGCTGGGGCTCCGCCAGGAATTGGCTAAGGAACGATCAAATGTTGGGTGCACTTAGGCCACCCTAAGTGCAGCTCTATTATAGGATAAAGCGAAACAAAAATCATGTTTCGTATCCAATCGTTCGCATTATATTTTATTCCACAAAATATTATAAATTATTTTAATAACAAAAATTTAATTTCATTAGATATATTGTTTTACATATATTTAATTATTTAAACATATAAGTAATAAAATATAAAATAGTACAATAATAATTATATAAACATTATATTATTTACTAGAACATGTATCAACTATGTATGTATTTTGTAAATTTATGATTTTAATGAAATCGATTTCTTTTATTCTGTTAAATTTTTATTCATATAGTTGCATTTTAATGTTAAAAAATTAAAAAATAAATTATAATAAATCAATAAATAAAAAGTACAAAGTTATTTAACATACATTGCACAAAGTTATTCACGAGAAAAATACATTTAATAATAAACATTATATAAAAATTTATCAATAATAAAACATTAAAATACATTAAAAAAAATATAGTGTTAGCTACAATGTTGCGCCAAAGTGGCGCAACATTATTCATTTCTCTGCTCTGCCGCAGGAATCTCGCGCACATTTGGAGGAAGGTTTTGCGCCAATTTAGCGCAAATACAAAGAAGTAGCGCCGTGTTGGTGAGGCTATAATAGTTGGCTCAATGACAATGCTTGGTGCAAACTGAGGAGGATGCTATTGCTCAATGACAATGCTTGGTGCAAACTGAGGAGGATACTATTGCTCAAGAAGTAGCATTGGTTGACGTCGCCAGGCTGCAAAACTATTAAAATGTCCTATTCCTTTCAAGAGCAACTGAGGAGGATGCTATTGCTCAATTGAATTTATAATGATAAACCAACTGTGTCGAACTATCATTTAAATTATTAAACTAGAAAGAAAATTTCACTAATTTTATAATGGGTAAATTGCACTTTTGGTACCCAAACTAAAGTTCATTTCGGAATCAGTACCCACTTTTTAATAGTTGCAAAATTAATACCCAAACTTTTATTCCGTTTGCGACGTCAGTACCCGGCGTTAGTTGTCCGTCAAACAGCCGTTAATCGTTACCGTTAGCTATTAAAATGGAGGCAAATATGTTCTTTTTGCGCGCCTGTTGTACTCTATATATATATGGCTTAATGTAGCCATATTTTCCCACCAAAGTTCGCATCTCTCAACAGAAAATTAAGAAAAATTAGGAAAAATCAAAAAA